AGGAACGTCGTCGTTTTCGGTCAAAATAACTACTTTTTTCTTCAATAAACTATCTTGTTTTGCCATACAATATTATAGTAAATGTATAGCACATCCGGTTCGAATGTCCGACCCTCGTATTACGTTACATTTTAGTGACGTCACGTCCGCGCATCGCTATTTGATACAATGTACATTGTTGTACAGCTGTACTTAGGCAATCAATTTTGTAGTTATACTCAACAGTGTCATGACTATTTTCTTACCATTTTAACATTTAATTTAGCAACACCATTGTCAGCCAGCTCATCTTCATATAATACTACATCATCATAAAAATAAATCTTTTCCCTAATTTTCAGTTTTTCCATGTCGATTCTCTTTGCTGTACTAGATATCTGAGAGAAAAAACAACAATGTATAAAAACCAAAAAAGTTATGAAACTAAATGTTGTGCAATGACTCAAAATATTATTGCTGCTGCTTTTGTTGCTGCTACTGCTAAAACTACTACTGCTGATACTACTTCTGCTGGTGCTACTGCTGATGCTGCTGCTGCTTATTGCTGCTGGTGCTGTTGTTGCTGCTGCTACTGCTGCAGTTAAGTGCTGCTACTGCTGCAGCTGCTGCTACTGCTACATCTACTGCTGCTAACACTACAATAATTAATCGCCACCTGATTAGCTCAGTTGGTAAGAGCGTTGGTCTGTTGTGCGGAAGGTCATGGTTCAAACCTCTGCTGGACCAACACTCAGTGCCTTAAAATAGCTAAGGAGAAGGTGCTGCCTTTGTAATTACATCTGCAAATGGTTAGACCTTCAAGTCTTCTCGGACAGGGACTTAAAACTGTTGGCCCTGTCTGTCTTCACTATATAACCCTGTATAAGGCAGATGTAAAAGAACCACTGAAGAGGCTGGTGAGGACCATCTTTAGTGCCCGTGCTAAACTCTACCGGGCCCACTGTAATTGGCAAAAAGCTGTTGTGGTCTCCCTGACCTCATGGGAAAAGCTAATAAATAAATACAAAAATTAATTAGTTGGAGTGTATTACAACTTACTCTTAAACTACTGGATCCCACCAGGAGTGTTCCTTTGTAATCTGTTGTGTATGTCCAGTCAAATGGCTTGATTACATCTTTTATGAACTCTGAGTCCTGCCTGAATGCAAATTAAGTATAAATCGAACAAATATACCTGTATATATATAAATACTGTAAATGCGATACTTCAGGGAAGAAAGAGAGAGTAATACTCTGAATGTCAAAACTTTATTTTTTGTCAGACCCTAAAGCAACCTTTAGGCTGATCCACTGTAAATAAGAGCATGGCTACAGTAACTCACATAATATTGAACCTGGAAACAACCTCTAAGCTGATCAAAGTCAGGGCATATCTAATTCTTACAGATCAAACCCTGAAACAACGTCGTAGCTGATCTAAGTCAGGGCATAGCTAACTCACAGATTGAACCCTGAAACAA